AAACAGTGAACATAACATGATGTTTTATAGGCAAAACAATGGTATAACGGTAGCAAAAACCGTTCCAACACCAACGTGATTAACGCCAAAAACGGTCAATTAAAACGTTAATTTACCCAGTCAAAACAGCTAGTAAAACGGCCAAGGTTTAATTAATCTGGAAATAAACGTTAGAGAGATAACCAGTCAAAACCGTTTAGCAAAAATCAAGGCACTAATTACGTAATTAAGCCTTGTTCAAAAACTGAGCAAAAATTAAGTTTAATTAATAAACCCGACTCGACCCAACCCAACCCAGCCCAGCCCGGCTCGGCTCGGCGCGCGTGTGTGATAAGTGGGCTTGGTAGGTAAGTCCTCCCTCTCCACAAAATGTGGGTAGCCCAAGGGCCACACCCAAATACTCCACATTCTCCAATATAAGGGAGGACAAACTTCTATTTCCCACCAATGTGGGACTTTTTGTTTTCCACAAAATTTACACCAAAACACACTTGTTCCAACATTACCATGAATTGATATTTCGGTGAGACAATAATCAAATAAAATGAAATTTACAAGATTGAGACAATTTACCACTCCCTACATACCATAATATAAATCCTATTTTCTTATTTTAGAGACCCAAAATATTGTTCATGTTTTTATTTTTGAATAGTTTGTAAAGATCATTACGAGTATACCCTTATTTTTAGACTTTATTCATTGTACTTTTTAAACTACCTTTGAATTTTGCACATATTTTATACTTTTTCCACTTTTTCTTTCTAACTTTTTTCTATAATTACACTCTTCACATTTATTATTGTACTTCACTCACTTTTTCCGTCTATTTTTCAATACTGTGAAAAAACACAAACAAGAACTGTATATTGAGACAGAGGGAGTAGTATGTAAGTTTAATTTTTATTTGTATCTAAAGAGCTAGAATTATTATTCAAGTTAAACGTGCCTGGAGTTTAGCTCCTTAATGCTTGTTAATCGTAATTAATAATTAATAATATAAATGTTAATTGTCATAACAAAAAATGCTATGTAGCTTATGACATGATTAATAACCTATCAACTTTACATAATATAAATCAATCTGTTAATTGGTTTATACTCCATACTTCATATTAATTTATTTTTTTATCCGTTTAATTCGTTTATTATATATAAAGCATACTTTGATGTAAGTAAAAATAAATCTTATAAAACAAGTAATGAAATTTTGAGAGTGGTGCATTCATAATTGCAGATGGATGAATTGAGAAACTTGAACTTAATGATTTTTAACTTTTTTATCACCAAAGATTAGTAATAGTGTATACAACTTTTTAATCACCAAAAATTAGTAATAGTACGTGTATTATAATATACAAGTAGAGTATATGTGAGATGTCTCCTTACAACTTTATTTACAAACATCATAGGGATCGGACCAATATACAAATACTTCACCCGTTTCTTTAATATTACAATATGGAGGAGGAATTATGCATCCCAAAGCACAATTTAAATCTTAAAATTATCACGACGTACATATTTAATCCCTAGTCTTTTAGGGAGGTGATGGGGATGATGGTTATGAAGTAGGAGGAGATGGTGTTTTAGGCGGCGTATCAGGAGGGTAATAGACAGGTGATGGTGCAGAAGGCGGGGTTGGATCAACAATTAGAACAGGAGGAGATGAAGGTCTAGGTGTATCAGGAGGGTAGACCGGTGATGGTGGAGACGGTGGGGTTGGAATAATGGTTGGATCGTCGATTTGAATAGGAGGAAATAATGGTTGTGTATCGGGAGATGGTGGTGGTGGATCGATGACTAGAATAGGAGGAGATGGGCCGAGATATGAAGTTGAAGGATATGGTGTTGTTGTATTAGGTAAATCAGGAGGATAGACATGTGGTGGTGGAAATATTGGGACTGAAGTTGAAGGGCTGCTGGTGGTTGAAAATAACAACTTGCAATCTTACCGCCTTTATTCTCAACAATTGGAGGCGAACCATATTCAGGAGATGATGGTAATGATACCGGAGGACTACAAATTGGCTTACATGAAGCACAATCAATTGTACAACCATCAGGGCAAAACTCGGGACAAACATGCTCTAAGTTATAGCACATTTTGTACTTTTTGATCTTACATGATGCTCTCATGAGATGGTTCGTGTTCCCTTGAGAAATCGCGGCATCTAGCAAGACTGTCAATGACAAAAGAAAACACCCTAGGTAGAGTATCTTGTGTAGAGCCATTTTAAAGAATTTGATTAGTTCTCAACTGATGGGTTTGTACTTTGTAGCATCATTGCAAAACAGCTTATTATGTAGAGGTGTAGGCATCCAAGTTCATAATTTACTATTAATATTAATTCCCTAAGATGTCGGGTCAAGGCGTTAATTAAACACAAATTAAATTATATGTATATACATACCTTCATTCAATGTCATCTCCCATGTTTATATATTGTGCATATGGCGGTCCAACGTAAATAAATGGCTAATGATGAACAAGATATATATATACTTGTATGAAAGTTGCAGAAAATACAAATAATTAAGGACCTTTGATTGTTAAGTCTGCAATGCTTCTTTGTTTTAATACTTGTATAGTTGTATATATACAACTTGGGATCACCTAGCTTAATCAATTAGTTTGAAGAATCTTAATTAGAGGTGTGCAATGCTAATTAGTAATTACAATACAAGCAAGTAGCTAGCGCTAGGGGTGAGCATAACAGGGTACCCTGTAAAAATTCCAGGAACCGGAACCGGAACAGGTTCCTCAAAATGAGAACCGGAACCGGAACCGGAACCTACAGGTTTCGGTTTCGATTCCGGGTACCCTGTATTATAATATACTCACTAACTTTTTCGCGGAATTTTTAATAAAAAACTGGTTGGTCACTAATTTATAATGTTTGCAACTTGCAAATAAGACAAACTAATAGTACTTGTCTAACAAATTTAATATATATATTTTTATAATTGTAATTTTGATATTTATTATTTAAAAATTGAGTAAGAATTAGTGTATAATTTGAAATTAAGTGATATTTTTATCAGGTACAGGGTACCCTACAGGTTCCGGTTCCAAAAAATTGAGAACCTGAACTAGAACCTATTACAACAGGTTCTCCAGTTTGCTACCCGGAACCGGAACCTCTTGTACAGGTTCTGGTTTCGGAACCTGCGGTTCCTAACAGGTTCCGGTTCCGATTCAGGGTACCCTGATTTTTCGCTCACCCCTAGCTAGCGCGATTGGATTGAAGCTTCTAATATTGTGAATTGTGATGCTTAATTATCGATGAAGTTGATTATCATTTAATTAGTACCGAACATAAACCAATTGGATATAGTGTGATCACAGGGTTAAGAAATAAATTAAGACTTAATTCTTGAATGGAGGATGCTTAATCCTTAGACATCGGAGTTATTTTCCTTTTGGGAGCATTGTCGAGTTAATTGGAGCCACTTTAAGTAAGGGACTATTAATCAGTAATCTACTAATCTTTAAAGCTATGCAAAATTCAAATAATTAATGTTATTTCCAGCAACATTGCATATCATCATATCCCTACTTTTTCAAAGTATGAGATAACTCTTATGACTAATGCTTAGATAATTATGTCCTCTAAAATATTTATTTACTTAATTGCCCCATTAATATTTATCAACTCTTTTTGTACTCTTAAGAATAGTGACAAGAAGAATGCTTTGTAACAAGCAGTCCCCCGATTTCAAGCAAGTAACCAAGTTTGGAGCTATATTCTATTTTTGATAGGGATAATATATATTTACTTAATTAGTTGATTAGATAATATAACTATATATAAGATAAGTTTTGACAAATAGCACGTTTTGTGTGCAGATGGCCACACCATGTGGCCGCTTGTAAAATAACAAATTAACACCTACAACATTGACCAAGTAGCCTAAATACTGACCAACTCCTAAAATATTAATCGAGTAACCCTTGTAACATGACAAATAACCCTGGTAATACTAATTAACCCCCAAAATACTAATCGAGTAAACAGTAACTCTTGTGACTAGGGCTGTGCACTTTTAGATCTGGACCGTAAAACCGACCGGGACCGGACCGGACCCGGCCCGGATCGTAGCCTTCCGGGTCGGTCCTCGGTCCTTTAAAATTAGTCATTCCGGGTTTCCGGTCAGGTCCGAGTAAAACCCGGTAAATTCCGGGCTGGACCGGAAACCCGAGAAAAGTGTATATATATATATATATATTTTTTTTTTTTTAATTTCCTAAAAACCCTAACTTCTATCAATCTCATTCACGAATCACGCCTCTTCACTCTCACTCTCTGTCCTCCTCTTTCCCGTTCTCACTCTCTGCCCGACGCCGCCGCGGCTCCGCCCCTGTTCTCAACCACGGTCCACGGACCACGGCATCGCCCTCATCTCCGCAGGCCGCCCTCCTCTTCGACTTCCAGCCTCCAGCCCTCCAGGTATGTTCTAGTTCGATTGTTAGCCTCTCTTCGTTTTTTTTTTGTTTTTGTTTTTTTGTTTAATTAAATTCAATTTGTTAAACTCAGCCTCCTCCTCCGATCACTCCAGCCGTCGACGCCTAACAGCCCTCACCGGAAATTGCTCCTGTTCTAGTTCGAAAGTACATAGGTTAAAAAAAACAGGTTAAAATGCAGGGAAAAAAAAAAGGTAAAGTCGGTCCCAACCGGTCCAAAACCGGAATGGACCGTATTAAACAGGTCCAGACCGGGACTGGACCGGCAGAATACGGTCCGGTTTCCGGTTCTTAAAAATAGCTTATTCTGGGTTTCGGTTCATACCGGTCCCGGTCCGATTTTGGAGCGGTGCACAGCCCTACTTATGACATTGACCGAGTAACCCCTATTATAATAACAAAGTATCCGTAAAAAAAAAAACTAACGAAATAATATTGTCAACCACATACAAGAATTTCTAAAATGCAAATATAAGTGTTTGGATTGGATCTCAAATGTAAAATGGGTAAAGTCTCAAGTCTGTAAACCCTTTAAGGGTCCGCCCTAGGATGTACTGGGTTGGGTCGGACCCTATTATTTTAGGGCTGGGTCGTAAACCCCTCCAAAAAAATAAAATAAATAAAAAATAAATAAATTAAAAAACCTTCTTTCTCTTTCCTCGAAAAAAAAACAAAAAACTTCTCTGTTCTTCGTAGTCGGCGAATTCAGAGACGTCATCAGTGTGTATTTTTCTGTTCAATCTTTAGCTCGGGAAATCATTCAATATGGGACTGAAAAACATCAGGTAATCTCCTACCTCAAAAACTTATTAGAATTGTTAATTTTTTTATGAATTTGGGGATTAAAAATCTGCAAAATTGATGTCTAGGTCGGATGCTACGAAGAAAGCAGATCGGAAATTTGAGAAGAAACTTGAGTTTTATTCGAGTAATAATTCCTTTTCAATTACTGAAATGTTATTAATTTTCTGGGTTTTTTCTTTAAATGTTTGAATTGGTTGTTTATGATTCTGGGTTTTGTTTAAAACAAGTGCAGAAGTCAGAGAGACAGTTGCTTCATTGAGTGTTACGAAGGCGATTACAAAGGTGAAATTTCTAATTCAAGCTTCATCTTTGTTGTCTTTCTCAAGCTTAATTAATTTGCAGTAAAAAATAAAAAACAAATACATTGTAGAATCCAAAAAAAAAAAAAAAATTAAAACTGTAGGCTATGATAGAAATAATTTGTTTATTACCTTTGTTATGGTTAATGGTATATGTATATATAATTATATAGTGTATTGTTGGAGGCATTATGGTTGTTGGCAATTGAGATATACAATGCACTTTGCAGTTGTAGTTGTAGCTTGTAGCTGTACATAAGAGAAGTAGCAAAAGTCGATTATAAATTGGCGTGGTTGCCTAGGGTGGTGGTCGTTGTTAGAAGGGCATACACATTAAAAACCTGACTGTCAAATGTCATACCACCACTAAATGAATGAGTCTAAACTCTGAATTCTTAACACTTTTATCACCACAACCATAACCAATATCAGGAGCAATGTGATTATTTAGAAAAAATAAAAGAAGGGAGAATGTGGGAGCACCTAATTCTGATAAAGGAAGGGAACGACAGTGGAGGGGGCGAGGTTGATCCAGAAAATCACAATGATCTTGATCCAGAAATATGGCCTCTGCCTACTTTGCTATTACTGTTTGGTGAATTGGGAGGTGGCGTAGTTGTGTAGTATTTTAATCAATCGAATGCAAGTTGTTCCCGTGGATATAAATATATTTCTACAACTTGAAAGATTTGAAGAAGTTTGGAGGATTTTGGGTGATAATGCGACTGGTGATAGTGCAGCATCTACAATGAGGGAGATCCAAGTCAGATGAACTGGTGATAGCCTTTGATTGATCGCAATAGCATATTTGTATTTGGATAATTTCTCTGATTTATATTAACTCTATATTACTGCTGCATTTGGTCACTTGTGTTCTGTTTCTTTCGTTGCCAGAAAAGCAAGAGTGCAAGAAAACGGGAAAAGAAATTAAAAGCTTATGACCTATCCCTCCTCAATGAAGTCTTACCTGAGGTGAAAGAATCACAACAACCTGCTCCTCCACCTAAAAAATTGAACTGCAAATCCAGACAGAAACTAGTGTGAGTGGCTAATTCTCTGTTTAATTACAGTTTTTTTTAACTTGATTTACTGATATATCTATTGATGGCAGATTGAAGGAGACAGAACGAATGGAGGCTGTCTTAAAACATCCTGCTTTCCAATCCGATCCATTCGCTGCCATACATCGGTACCTGGTGAACACCCAACAGCTCCTAAAGCTGAGCCTGTAAAGAAGAAGTCCAAAGACGATGCAAAGAAGAAAAGGAAGAAGATATCAAAATCTTCTTCAAAACCACAGTCCATGGAGATGTGAATGGCAAATTTGGGTGTATTAGCAACAGCTTTATCATCGATCCCTCTGAAGACATATCCAAGAGGTCAAGCTTTGCTGATGTGGGGCTATCATCATCCGATGGAAAAAGAATTTAGTCTGCTTGTTGGCTTGATTATCCATCTTATATGGAAATTTTTAAAATTATCAATAGGTCATGTAGTAGTTCTTAAATGAAAGAATCATTGCAAACCCAACCACACCAACAGTCTTTTATGGCTTTAGGTGAGTAGATGTAGCAATGTCTTATCAAATTCGAACTGCAGTTTTTGTATGATTGAATTTTTTTTTTTTTGTTAGACATCTCAATCGATTATATAAGTTTTCTCTTGGCTCTAATATGAATTAGTGATCATGAAACTTTTTCATTAATATCACTTTATGGACAGAAATCGTATATATTAATAAACCAACCTCTCCTTATTTTTCCTGACTTCACTAAGACAGCTAGAAAGTGGTGACATGTATACGTTGTTAAATAAAACAAGGATGAATTTTAGGAATGTAAAGAAAGGCTTCATGACATTTTAAGAGGAACTTGATGCAGACTAAACAATTTTATTTTATTTTTTCTTCACAAGTTATCCTCATGCAAGTAAGCAAAATTAGTATATTCACATTTTAAGAGGAACTTGATGCAGACTAAGTAAAATTAGTTTCTGAAATGTTTGTTTAAGATCTCTTTTAAAAGCAAAATGATACCATCAAAGTCGCACCAGTGGTCTAGTGGTAGAATAGTACCCTGCCACGGTACAGACCCGGGTTCGATTCCCGGCTGGTGCAATCTTAAATTTTTTGCGATTCCGGGCTGGTGCAATCTTAAATTTTTTGCGAATATACCATGACAGAAGTCCAAAATCCAATTTTCATTGTGTATTTAGAGTTTAATTTTTGACAGAAGTAAAGATAAATCATAAATGACCATAAATCTTCATATTAAGGTAATACTAATATACTATTATACTGTACTATATTACTATGTGAATTATGTGAGAGGATTAACGTATAAGCAAGATCGTTCATATAAAAATCAAAGAGGCAAGTCTATATAAGATTACAAACTCTTTCTCCTGAGTCCTGAATGAGGTCAGGCATAGGTTACAATACAAAGAACATCGCTGTCCTACTAAGCCTACAGAACAAAAAAAACATTGGTCCAACATTGAAGTCGCACCACCTATCTACTCGCATTTGATTGACCGATATATATGACGGACAAAAAAGAGTGCAGCACGGAAGCCAACCATTCCAAGCATAAGGAAGAAGCCATAGCATATGCAGGCCATGTAGCCGAAGAAAAATGATGTCTGCATGAACCCAGACATATCAGAGCGGGCATAATAGTAGTATAGGCAATAGCCATATATAAATAGCCCTGTAGAACCACCGCATAGGAAGGACCTGCCATAATAAGTACCAAATCAGTTAATAACTTAATATCATACTAATATGATTGCATCGGTAATACAGACTTACCTACTATATTAACGAATCCAAGATAACAGGGGGAAAGTCGGGAAAGCAACAACGCAGGCATACAAAAGAGACATAAGCACCAATGAAAGTGATCGTGAACTTTAAGATAAAGTAGGTAGCAAATAATGCATATTGATGGATCCAAGTTATTCACTTATTCCTAGAGTTAAATGAAAACGACGACTTTCAAACTCACTAGCATGGCAAAAGCATAGAAATAAATCATACAATAAGAATATACCATTCATGAAATAATCAGACATAAGCGCAGAATACATACCTCCACCACCACTCATGGTCTTCAGCAGCAAGTTGGAAGTATGTCAAAGCAACAGTAATGAAGCAGTGACTATAATCAAAATAATGAAGACAATGAACAAAATGCTATAAATTGTGTAAATCCTGTGTCCCCAAAACACTGGCAAAGATGTAGTAGAGCTCTATGTATATTGCACTGAATGGTAAAAACCCAGCCATTGCCATCTGAGGAAGAGTCCCTCGTACCACGGCAGTGGTGGAATTTTCTCTGGGGTACTTTGTTGTGCGACAAGGAGCTTGGAACTCAGCCTTGCTATTCTTTCCAGCGATTCACCACCCAAAACAAGCAACGGTGAAGTTACAAGTGTCCAGATAAGAAGTATAACCATTATTGTGCCAAATGGAAGAGCAGCAGTAGCATGGTATGCTATCGCAACAGTGTTTGAGGAAGCAAAAATGAGAAACAGAGGACCACAGAACAAGAAACCAGTCAGCAACAGATTCCTAACCTGTCAAAACAAATGGGGGAAGCAATCAGTAAGCTTTCTGATACCATTTAATCAGTGGGATGGAAAGGGGGTGAATCAGATGGAAGGCAGAAGCAGAGAAACTAAGATTTAGCATGCCATATGCGGTAGCACAGTTTGATCCTTCTAGCTGGCAATAAAAGGAGGTTGCAGTATAACCAGCAATACCATGATGTAAGAGCATATATAACAACCAGTGCTGTGAACAGTGCTCCTCGGTTGTAAGGATAAAACACTCCAACTAGTGCAAGCAAGAATATGAAT